AAGTTTACACCAAAACTGAATGGGCAGGCAGGCAGGTAATACAAGAGGCAACAAGGTGACACCTTGGGTGATGCAAGAAGATCAATAACCTCCCACTGCTGACTCAACATCTCTGAGGCTTGGGACAAATTATTTATTTTGCATACAAGAGTGCCACCACCCAATAACAAATTGGTTTCCTTCTCAAGAAGAAATCCAAGAGGAAACATCACTGTTGGAAACATTGCTCTGCCAAACTTAATTGATTACAAAGATTTGCAGTCATAAAACAAGGAATAACATATCTCTCTTCCCCCTTCACCCCTATTTTTTTTTAAATCTTATTTAAATATTTTGAAGAGTATAAATAAAAGTTTATAAGATAATATTGACTCACAAATATCTACAAACACCTTCCTACCAAAAACTGCTAAAACACAAGCTAGATGCAACATTCTATTATGAAATACCAAAACTTTCTGAAAAATTATTTTTTAAATTTCCAACACACAAGGACCTAAAACAAGTGGCAACCAGAGTCCTGTCAAACACAGTCTGGGAAGTAATGTAGAGTAGCAAGTCCCACAAAATTTCCCAAACTCCTCAATCATCAAATTATCCAAATCTACATGTTCAAAACAACCAAAAATGGAATAAAGCACTTGAATGAAAGCTAATACTCAAACATACATGTGCTGTGGCTCAGTATATATTCAGGGTACCGTAATAAATCTTATTTTGAAGTTAGTTATCCTGAAGATAGATAGGCCGGCATTTATATTTCTGTGGAAAATGAATGCCAGCCAAGCAACCTCAATCTTCAGGAGAGAACAATTTTTAACGCCAAATGCTTTATTTTATTTATTTCTCCTGACAAAGACAAAAGATTTTTGTCAAAACGTTGAGAAAATAAAAAAACTAACTGGCCGAAGTGTATTTTTTTCACAGAAATTTGAAGTTAGTTGTTGTTGAAGAGACATACTATCCTGCGTGGGAGATAAGAAACAAAAGAAGGGGAGTGAAGGAAGGAAGGAAGACTTATCTCCAAGAGATAAAGCATGCACCCACCCACCACCCATATGGCTCCATCTCCCCACAACAGACAGGAATAGCGTGGCAAATTATGTTCAGTGTCGCCACTGTCCATTTTATTTATAGACACAGTAGTTAGTGGGCCAGCTACTTTCGCAATATCAACATCCCTCCTCTATTCTTCCACAGCACAACAACATCACTGCACTATAAATGTAAACTACCAATTTAGATTGGACCTTTCTTTTTTTTTTTAAATCCCCATTCTACTTCTGATCTTTACCTTGTGCCAGCTTTGCTTATGTAAGGCTGGTGTAATGAAAGTATGGAGTCGTGTTACCATAGAATAATAAGAGCAGTGTGTTTCCATGGTCTCCAAGGCTGTTGTTACCAAAGGGTATATAGAAACAACAAGTGACAAAGAACTGTCACAGACTCTGGGTAGTTGCCAATTGGCCATGTCTACTATACCACAACCACCTGCCCTAACAAACTACTTTGGTACAGCTTGGATTAGAGCTGAGTATCGCTAGATTTGATTTTTGTTCTCTCATTGATACTTTTTATTATATGACTATAGATTAGAAACAAAGTGTGATAAGACTAAATAGTGTGTGACATCACACTTTATTTGGATTTTGTCTTATTTTATACCTTAAGTTTCTAACATTTTACTAAAACTAATTCTGTGTGTTCTTCGGCTTACTTTTTAATGAATGCATACAATTTATTTCATAAGACTTTTTACTAATTTTATAACAGGACCATGTCTAGGTTTGGCAGTCATGAAAAAAAAACCTTTGCAAACCAAGAATTTTTTTAAAGGGGGGGAAAAAAGGTATCTGCTCAGTAATTACGCTACAATATCATGTAGTCCCATCTGGTTACAAATGTAGCTCACATCACAGCAATATCTCCCAACATCAATCATTCTCAGACATTATAGTGTCCAGGTTTCATGGTTTATGACCTTGCAAGTGTGGACCTGAGAATTGAGCTTTCACATTTTTATCAATTCATTTAAAAGACTTAAGTCATTCTCACCATTAAAAGGCTCTCAGTCACCCTATTCTCATCCATTTTGTTTATTCTTCTTGCACACATTTCAGTGATTGCATTCAGTCCTTTTGTAAGAGTAAAACATCTACTCAGTGGTGTGTTGTCTGGCTGTCTTTTTTTTTTATATACTATAATAATTATAATAAATAAAACTGACATAATTCAAAATAAAACTTATTTTTACCGGCTACATTCAATTTTTTTCTCAAAAGTTGGAAGTGGATCATGACAAGAAATATGATCACTGAATGACAAGGTGATATTGCTTCAAGTTGTCTTCCAAGTAGGTGCAGTGATACCTGTGTAAATAGAGAAGACAGTGTAATTATATTGTCATCAAGCCACTAAGACTTTCCATACAATAAAAGCCTTTCTCCCCCCCCCCCCCCCCCCCCCCCATGCAATCCTTCTTAGTTTTCTTTAGCCCCCTCTATTTTACTGGAAACTAACCTGTCCAGAGGGAGTGAGTGATAATCCATTCTTCTGGGCAGGCAAAAATGCCATTTCCATTATACTTCCAACTCCTATAATAAATTCAAGAATTTGCTCTATAAATCACAAGTGCTCCACACAGCTTCCAGAGTTTTCAGTCCATCAGTGGGATAAAGTCTCACTTCAAGTCCTAAACATTTTTAGATCAAATTGCATTTTAAAATGTGTCTCTTTATTTAGATGGATTGTTTATGAAGAGCCAGCCATTTTCTTTGCCTTTTTGTTTGTGAAATCAGGTTTTCATGAAAAAGATTAGTAAATACTAAATATGTTATTTATTTCACAAATTTTATGATATTTTCCCTTTTTGCACTCAACACATCAGTTTTGCTTCTCCTAGCTGAACTAACTGTCAGTTCTGACTGAGAAGCTCCCACCAAACCACATGTTTATGTGACATTATACAGGATGTCACACAGTCACCTTGTTACTATCAATCCAATAATCTAACAGGACATGTACTCTGCAGATCATTTAGTTGTGTCCATTCTGGAGGCAAGAATACAATTTGATGTAGAAGGAATGATTTGTTAATAAATTAAGACTATTATAAACACAAGGTAATAAGACCAAATCCAAATATATAGTGTATAATAGAAGAGAGCTTCAGACCCTGAATTCTTTAAAATAGAATCTTCAAGTGATGGCTTAGCATCAACAATCACTTTGGAATTCATTTTCTTCAGCTCAAAGTTCACTGTGTGAAATGGCATTTCAATGATGGATTCGTCGATAGCACATTACATAAGACCCAATTGTATAAAATCCCTGGGTTTTCCATCTAGCTCAGTCTTAAATTGAAAAAGCTGACAGGAATTTGATAGATTAACCTT